ATAAGAAACTTCTGCAACTCAGTAACAAAGAACCCAAATAATATAATTTAAAAATGGGCAAAGGACTTGAATGGACATGTCTCCAAAGAAGATATTCTGTCTCAAAAAAAAAAAAAAAAAAAAAAACACAAAAAGAAGCTCAACATCACTAACTAACCAGGAAACAGAAATCAAAACCACAAGACGCCACCTCATACACGTTAGCATGGCCCCTCTCAAGAAAAGAAAATTATAACAAGGACGGGCAAGGAGGAGTAACAACTGGAACCTTTGCACACTGTTGGCAGGAATGGAAAATGGTGCTGCCACTGTGGAAACAGTATGGTGGTTCCTAAAAACAATCAAAGATGGAATTACCATATGATCCAGCAGCTCCACTTCTGGGTATGTACCCAAGAGATGCAAAATCAGAATGGCAAAGGAGTGGCTGCACACCCATGTTCACCGCAGCATTATTCATAACAGCCCAGAGATGCAATCAGCCCATACCCATGGGTAGATGAATAGACATGCAAAGTCCACTTATATGATGGACTGTCACTTAGCCTTAAAAAGGAAGGAAATTCTGACACATGGTACAATGTAGATGAACCTTGACGATGTTGTGACATGTGAAATAAGCCAGATATGAAAAGGACAAATACCGCGTGACCCACTTACATGAGGTCCCAGAGTAGATAAATGATAGAGACGAAAGAAGAATGATGGGGTGCCAGGGGCTGGGTGTGGGGGAAGAGAAGGAAACAAGGAGCATTTGTTCAGTGGATATAGTTTCTGTCATGCAGTATCAGTAAGTTCTAAAGATGTGCATATAGTTAATGTGAAACTGTATATCAAAAACTGCTGAGGTAAATTTATGTGTTTATTATAATAAAAAATAAGTAGAATGCAGAGCTGGTACTCCAAAAACATCAAATCTCTACCAAGTCTAATCAGGAGAAAAAAGAGAAAAAATACAAATAGGCATTAGAAACAAAAGAGAGGATGTCAACACAGAGGTAGAGATTCTAACTGATGACATATTGTTCATGACATTATGATACATTTAAAAGTCAAAGTGCAAAAAATGGATTTTTTTCTTTTTTACTTAAGTATTTTTAGACATCCACACCCACACAACCCCACCCAGATCAACATGCTGACCATCTCTGGCTGCCCAGCAGAGCCCCATAGCACCTCGTTTTGAGATAACCACCCACTTTAGCTTTGTGTGAAGTTATAATTTACTTATTCTCTCTGTATTCATATCAATCAACCACAATTTGTCAGTCCCTTCTACTTGCTGATGGACATGTGAACTGTTTCCACTCTGGCTATTTGCATTTTGTTCCTAAAAACTGTTTATGCTCTTAACCATTTTCTCTGTCCTCTGGCTGGGACATAAACCATGGCCACAGTGGCCAGCCCATCTTTGCCAGCACTGCTGTGGCATCTGTGGCTGTGTTCTTGTGGGCATTTGTATAGCTTTTCTTGGGACTTTCCGGGCTCTAGTGTGGGCACTACCACTGTCCTGGAGGTGAATTGTACCAAGTCATGCTCCCACCATAGAGCGAGAATTCTAGCTACCCCACACCTTCACTGATATTTCGGTCATATAATCAATCTTCTTAAATTCAGCAGTTTGCAGAGGTGGGGAGCCTCAGTGGTGCCCCATTCCCTGAGTAACTAATGATGTGAGCACTTCCAGCCATTTTTATAATGTCTGCTCACCTCTTATGACTGTTTTTTTAAAATTGGATAGTCAGCATTTTTCTTCCCAAATCGTAATGCATTCATTCCAGATAGTCGTTTGTGAAAAAAACAGCAAATACTTTTGAAAGGGATGTTCTCATAGGGAACATTTACTAAAACTGACTAGGCTGAAAACTTGAACAGATCAATGACACAATGACAGCCATGGAAGAAACAGAGCTCCTGTTCGATATTTAGACTATGGGCACAGTGACTAAGGGTGTGCCACTGACCAGTCACTAAGCTGCTCAGCTGTACCCTGTACATTTTCCCTATATGGAAATTTGAAAGACAGGAGCAGAGGGAAATGCAGGTCATATATGTGACCTTGGATGAGGAAAGCAAAGACTCTGAAGCTGCGTGTCTGAATCCAGGCCTGGACACACACCAGCTGCATGGCCTGGGGCAGGTGACATGACCTCTGAAGTCTGGTCTCCTCATCTGCAAAGACAGGTGTCCAGTGTTATATAATTCCCAGGACTGGCATGAGGCCTCCAACTAGCCATGTATGAAGCGTACTGACGTTGCTGTCATAGCTGAGCTACACCACCTAGAAGGCTGCCAAGCATGACCCTGGACACGACATCCCAACAAAGAAAGCCATTACCACCAGTAAGGACAGGTAGGTCAATCAGCAGACCAGGAGAGGCAGGTGAGTCTCCTCTTGGGAACCCAGGATCTAGGCCTGGATGTCTGGGACCAAATTTACTTACCAGCTGTGTGGTTTTGAGCACATTACTAACCTCTCTGTGCTGTTAACTCAAGGACAATGTGGGGGAAATGGCAGTTCCTGCCACCTCAGGGTTGAATATACAAAGCACCCAGAGCAGGGCGGAAAGTGCAATCTGTGAGTGTTTGCTTCCAGTGGCTACAATTATCTAAATTACAGAGTGGTCAAACTAGAAAAAGACTACCAATAAGCCAATAAAAAATGGTAATAAACATAAAATCCATTAAAAAGGCATAAACATAAAACCTAGAAAAATACAAATGACTAATAAATACAGAAAACATATTCAACTGTATTAGTAACTAAAGGCACATAAACTAAAACAATGTCATGTCGTTTTTCAAGTATTAAATTACACTAGAAATAAAGTGGGTGCTGTGGGAAACCAGGCCTCTCACACCATGCAGGGTAATATCTGGCAGTGTGCAGGGGAGAGCTGGCAACCTCTAACCCTTAAAGGCAAAAAATACAGAAATGATCCTCTGAGCCAGCATTTCACTACCAACAACAACAAAAAAACCCAAAACAAAAAAACACACTAACCACTAATGCAATGGGAGGAAGGGTGCAAAGGCGCTGTCCCAAAATATTCACACTCCCGTCCTGTAAAGTGCCCATCAGCAAAAGAATGTGACAAGGGGTTCTCAAGTCGGAAGTCACCAAGGTCTTCAAAATAAATCAAGAAGACACCCAGGTATGGAGGATGCCAGACTAGGGTGACCAGATTTTAACATCGGTAAGGTGGGACAACATGGGGTGGGGAGCGGGGACGGGGCAGGGCAGGGCCTGACAACAATGTAAACTTTGATAAGCAGTTCTCAATAATCACTTCTCAGCAATTATTTGTTATTATTACGGTTTAACATTATAAAATTAACAGAAGTAATATAAAACTCATATTCTGGCAAAATAGCCACATGGCAGCCGAAAATTGCATATTCCCTTCTTGTTCTCCCGCCCGTTCGTGCATTCTTTCCAAAAATCGGGACTTTAAAAACGCCGCGGGACGCAGGACAAATTGTTCAAAAGCGGGACGTCTGGTCACCCTATGCCTGACCCCAGGTGAGCTGTGCACCTGCTGACAGAGAGCGGTGTGAGCCAGGCCCGGCGACCGCTGATAGAGAACAGACTAAGCACCTGCGAAGCTCTGAGTAATTCCTTCTAAAAACGAAGGGAACTAGGTTCGGCGCCCGTAGCACAGTGATTACGGCGCCAGCCCCATGCACCGAGGCTGTAGGGTTCGAGCCTGGCCCAGGCCACCTAAACAATAACAACTGCAACAAAAAAAGAGCCGGGTGTTATGGCGGGCGCCTGTAGTCTCCGCTCCTTGGGAGGCTGACGCAAGAGAATAGCTTAAGCCCAAGAGTTTGAGGTTGCTGGGAGCTGTGACGTCACAGCACTCCACCATGGCGACATAGACTCTGTCTCAAAAAAAAAAAAAAAAGGAAAGGAAATACCCCTCTACCTCAGGCATTTCTTCAAAATGGGAGTAACATTTCATTTTGAGTGAAAAAAAAAAATAAACGGATTAAATAGTGGGAGGGAGCGGAGGCGTGGAGTAACAAGATAGCTGAGCCGCCACTCCAATGCAGGAAAGGCGCGCTGGGCCCGCCCTCCTTCTAGGCCTCTAGCGGCGCCAGTCCCCTCCCAACCTGGTCGGGGCGAGGGCGGGGCCAGAGCGACAGCGCGCATCGGCGGGGGCGGGGCCTCTGCGCGCCGAGACGTACCGTGACGCGCGGGGACGCGCCGGCGCGGCGGCGGGTACGGGGGAAGGCGGGCGGGACGGCGCCCCCTGCGGCGGGGCGCGGGCTCCCGCAGGGGTCGCAGGGCCGGGCGGGGCCGCGGCGCGGCGCGGGGAGCTATCCCCAGCCGACGCCTCCCGCTGCGGCCCCATGCTGCTGCCCTTGGCCTGCCTGCACGGCCGCGTCGCGCAGTGCCTCACAGCCCTTCTTGTGCTTGCAGAGCCGCCCCCGAAGCCCCGGCGCGGCGCCAGGGTTTGCGGCGCGGCACCGCTTTGCGCCGAGGCCGCCCCAGCCGCCCTGCCCGCGAAGATGGCCGCGGACCTCTACCCGCCCGCCCGCGCCGCGGCTGCCACAGATATCGCCAACAGCAATGCCGCAGCCGCGGGCAGCAAGGCCAGCCCGCGCAGCCCGCCCCGCGCCCCGGCCCCCGCGCCGCCGCCACCCGCGCCCGTGCCGCCCACGCCCTGCAACAACAACGCGGAGAGCCCCAACTGGCAGTCCTGCCACCCCACCCTGCGCGAGAGGTGAGCCCGCGCCCCACCCCGCGACCGCCCGCCCGCGCGGCCCGCGGAGCCGAGCCCGTGTGCTGCCTTTGCAGGAACGCGCTGATGTTCAACAGCGAGCTCATGGCTGACGTCCACTTCGTCGTGGGGCCCCTGGGCGCGACCAGGAGGGTACCTGCCCACAAGGTTGGTACAGGGTCAGCCCCTTGTGCCCCCAAGAGCGACGGGCCACCTCCTGAGAGCGGCTGTCCTCGACCCAGGATGCTGGTCGCAGCCCACATCTGCTCGCTCCCTGCCGCCACTCCCCTCCCCTACCACTCCCCCACCCCCGCCCGCTCACACAGGTTTTTTTCCCTTACAGTATGTCTTGGCTGTGGGCAGCTCTGTCTTCTATGCCATGTTTTATGGCGACCTTGCAGAAGTCAAGTCAGAAATTCATATACCGGATGTGGAGCCCACCGCTTTTTTGATCTTGCTAAAGTAAGTTTGCTCTGAGGGGGTTAGGATAGGGGTTTCTCCTTACTGCCTGGCCACTCACAGGCAGCCTTCCAGTTTGGGAGCATCGCACATAGCAGCTGATGGGCAACTCCCTCAGCCCTCAGTGCTGGCCACAGGCCAAGGCCCAGCAGCCTCCACCTGTCTTGCCTAGGTACATGTACAGTGATGAGATTGAACTTGAAGCTGACACTGTGCTGGCCACTCTCTATGCTGCTAAGAAGTACATTGTCCCTGCGTTGGCAAAAGCCTGTGTCAACTTTCTGGAGACAAGTCTGGAAGCCAAAAATGCTTGCGTCCTGCTGTCTCAGAGCCGGCTGTTTGAGGAACCTGAGCTGACCCAGCGTTGCTGGGAGGTCATCGATGCACAGGCAGAGATGGCCCTGCGGTCTGAAGGCTTCTGTGAAATCGATCGGCAAACACTGGAGATCATCCTGACCAGGGAGGCCCTCAACACCAAGGAGGCAGTGGTTTTTGAGGCAGTCCTACACTGGGCTGAGGCAGAATGCAAGAGGCAGGGCCTGCCGGTCACCCCACGCAACAAAAGGCATGTGTTGGGGCGAGCCCTCTATCTGGTCCGAATTCCAACCATGACCCTGGAGGAGTTTGCCAATGGTGCTGCCCAGTCAGACATCCTGACCCTTGAGGAGACTCATCATATCTTCCTGTGGTACACAGCTGCCAATAAGCCACGCCTGGACTTCCCGCTGACCAAGAGAAAGGGCCTCGCCCCACAGAGATGCCACCGCTTCCAATCTTCTGCCTACCGCAGCAACCAGTGGCGGTACCGTGGGCGCTGTGACAGCATCCAGTTTGCCGTGGACAGAAGGGTATTTATTGCAGGGCTTGGCCTGTATGGGTCCAGCTCTGGAAAGGCCGAGTACAGTGTAAAGATTGAACTCAAGCGGCTGGGGCTAGTCCTGGCTCAGAACTTGACTAAGTTTGTATCAGACGGATCCAGTAACACCTTCTCAGTCTGGTTTGAACACCCAGTCCAGGTTGAACAAGACAGCTTCTACACGGCCAGTGCTGTCCTGGATGGCAGCGAGCTCAGCTACTTTGGGCAGGAGGGGATGACAGAAGTGCAGTGCGGGAAGGTGACCTTCCAGTTCCAATGCTCCTCAGACAGCACCAACGGGACAGGGGTCCAGGGTGGGCAGATCCCTGAGCTAATCTTCTACGCCTGACACACTGCAGTGGAAAGGCTATGATGCCACTGGCCCTCTGCAGTAGCCAGACCTGAGTACATGGAGGGAGGTGGAGGCTGCCTCACAGCCGTGGAAAACCCCACTTAGTATCTCTGGGTCAGCTATAGCCTAATGGTATAAAATAGACCCCTTTTCTACCCAGCCAGAGCCTAGCATCTGAATCTCAGGCATCGGGCAGATTTAGGTATAAGACAGGCCCCAAGTCCCCTCCCAGAGGCACTCACACTGCCTCCATCCAGGGGCTGGATGTTCCTCCCACCTTCTTGGGTTTTAAGGGATTCCAAGCTTAATATGATACTTTGCTTTCAAATCTAAAATTAGTGAAAAATTCCTTAAAATAGTTCATCTATTTAAGTAGATTTTCATAATAAAGGTTGCATAAAATGGTAGTTATGTGTAGATCAATGACTATAGGAGTCACAATCTGGGCATTATCTTTTTTATACAACTGAGAACAAGTCCTCCTGGCCATCAAGAGGAGAAAACCATCACTGCTCAGTGGTTAGAAGCAAACCACATCCTGGAGATGCCCATCTGTCCCCTGTGCCCCTACCAGTTGGGATTGGTTTCTCTCTAGGGCTGCAGCTAGAACATTCCAGAAACACATAGTGTCTGGTTACCTCTGTTCTTCCTAAAGCATCGCCACCACCTCTGAAGTCCTGCTGTGTGACCTAGATTAGTGGGGGCATGCTCTCCTGGGCCCAGCACTCCAGGCCCTGGGAAAAGACCCCTGGCCTCAGACTGGCCAACACTAACACTAGCAGTGCCACTGCTGTGGGGGATGGCTTGTGTGGCCGTGCACTGTGGGGTAAAGCAGGCTCTCCCAGCCTTTTGCCTGTTTTCCCACACTACACACACTACATGCAGTTGCTTTGTTTCTAGAAAACCTCAGAAACCCCCAAAGGGGAGGGACAGCCCTACTTGGCACAGGCTGTGGCCTCCTGGGAGAGGGTGTGGGCTAGGCATAGAACCCCAGCCTAGTTGGACATCCTGACACTGGGGAAACTGGCCCATCCTGCCCAGCACCAGGGCCAGTACCCCTCTCCCCACTGGGCCCTGAACACTGCTGAGCTATTGAAACCTGTGGATACTGACAGCCAAGTAAGGAGATGGCCTTCAGAGCAAGCAGGCTGTGGAAACTAGTCCGCTTGGCAAAGCTCAAAGGGTTTAAGTCAGACCCATCAGGCAGAGTGCTGTTATGATCATCTCCTTCTAGATTTTCCCGTCAGGTCCCATTCTACATGCATGGAACACTGGTACTGCCTCAAGGGGGAAATAAGATTTACTCTACTACTTCCCCATGCTGAGAGAGGGACACAGGCACATGAAGTTGCCCACTCTGGAAGCTCAGAGTACACAAATGTAGAAGAAAATAAAGGCTCTTGCCTTGTGTGGAGGTCCCACCTTCCTGAAGGCACCTGCAGGCCAGGTATATTTCTCAAACTTTGCCCAAACAAGGCAGGCCCCCGCACACAGCCCCTGTCTCCCACCTGCACCCTTGTCACATTTGATGCCACTAACGATGGGCTTTTCTAGTTTTGCACTAGAAATAAAGCCTCCCTTGCTGAGCTCCCAACAGTAGGGGACACTCCTTACCCTGACAGGTGTTGTGCTGACACTTCTGCAGAAGCATCTGGCACACTGGTTCCTGAGCAGCCCTGGGAGCCCCTTCCCAGCCCAGATGCCTACCTATGGCCGGTGCATTTATGCAGAGCTCTCTCGCCAAGAGAAGAAACGTCTTTCCCAGCACGTACACGTTCACCTGGGATGGAGAGAGGACAACCAGAAATGGCGTTCATGTTTAAGGAGATGTGCGCTGCCTTTCCTTTCTTAAAATGCATATGTTCAGTCTTTCAGAAATTCTATATCAGGGCCCCCTGCAGCCTATGGTGCACCCACCCACATCCCGGTGAGCCTGGCTGGCCTCCTGAGGCTGCCCTCTTCCCCCTTGACTGCTGCTACACCATCTCACCAGTGACTACTTGTTAACCAAGGAAATCTGCCTGGAGCATCCCTCTCAGGGAAGGCACACAGTGCACTGTGCATTTGACTTGGGCTTATGTGTGCCTGAACACAAGGCCTGTTACCCACACACAGGCCCACTGGCCCCACCTCCGCACCATGACCAACAGACCCAGGGGTCTTGGCCTCAGCTCCCTTGCTGGGATCCATATCCAAATCCCTGCCTGTCACCTGCCATTGCTCCTTCCTGCCACAGGACAGGAGTGAGGCTGGCAGTCAGTGGTGGGTGCATCACTGCTTGTCCTTGGGAAAGCAGGGCCCTTGGCCTGTACCTGAACCCTACACACAGCCTTACAATGGGCCCTGTTCCCCTCAGGAGCCCTGCGTTGGGAGGGTGCTTCTGAGCAGGGTCTATGGGCAGTGTGGACAGGTGCAAAGCTGTGAAAATCCCACCTGCCCTCTGTCCCCACCCCTGGCTTGCCTCTGTACCACCTGAGCCCCACAGGTTTCACCAGCCTGGTCTTCTGCCTCTAGGCTCCCCAAAGAACTCCCTTTCCTATGGGTCCTGAGAAGGTCCCTGTCCCAGCATGCAGGTGGCACTTCAGGCACATGCTGACTTCAAGGGACCAGGGGTCTACATTAGAGGCAGGAGCTGGAGATAGCATTCAGGGGCTCTGTCAGCTCAGGGAACCTATCCAGCTGGGAAGGCTAAGACTGGCCTGCCGAGGCAGCAGCGGTGGGAACACCTTGGCTGCCTCCTGTCCCAAGCTGGGCACAGCTCTTGCCTCCTCCTGCATGTTCCTGAGGGCCCCATCCTAAGGCTGGCAGCACACAGCATGTGCCTTCTGAAAGAATTCTACCTTCTCTCAGAACTCCTGGGTTCCAGGAGTCCTCAGACAGAATACAGTGTGTGTGAGTAGGTGTGGTGCATGAGTGTGCACACAGCATGTAAGTGTATCTTCCTAGGCCTGTGCAGGCTCCTGCACAGGCTCCTGCATCCTCACCCTCCTAATTCCAGATCTGTTTTGGCTATGGCAGAACAATGATCTGCTGCTGGGATGTCCAGGCCCCACTGGAGGGGCCACCATGGCTTCTGCTGCCCACCTCAAACTTTCTCTACCCTACCCTGTGGCCCAGGCAGACACGGGCTATATTAGGAGACCTGAGCATTCTCTAAAGCAGTGGTTTTCAACCTTCCTAATGCAATAGTTCTTTAATACAGTTCCTGTGGGTTGCAACTCACAAGTTGAGAATTGCTGCTCTAAAGGGACTTCACATGGAAAATCAAATGTTAATAAAGCTGTGAATGTAAAATGCACTAATGTGTGTGGAATTTATCAGAAGTCAAACATTCCCTCCCCTGGGCAGACAGTCAAGGCTGGGCGTGGCTGGCCAGCCCTCCTCTGTTTTTCTCACAGGACAGCAGGTAAACGATACAGAGACCACTTTTGTGGGCCTCTGTGTCTGCCTGGGTGTGGGCCTGCCAGAGGACCAAGTGAGTCCCCAGGTGAAGTGCATGCCAGGCTCCCCTCCACAGGAACTCACACTCAAAACTGGGGAGTTTAACCTTTAGCATGTGCATGAATCAAAAATTCAAGAGAAGCCTAACTGTGGTGGTCTCATCCAACTTTAAGTCATTTCCTTAAGGCAGTGAGCCCTCACCAGTATCAAGCCCCCCAGGGAAAGTCCTCACCTAATGCAAGCATGTTGCACCCAGATAGGTGCAAACACCTTGTGAGTGCCAGATCATTCTGGGCCATCAGGAGATCACACAGGCATGGCCCAGCCTCCTTAGAACACAGGTCTTGGCACTCAGCTCTGCCTCTCCTCTGAAGGTCTCAGTGTGTCCAGCCTCGAATACACAGGCCCCTCCTGAGGGCACCGGGACTTTCACCCTGTACCTGGCTTCAGCCCTGGGCAAACACGGACATAATGCTTACTGGTCCCTTCTTCCATTTTGATAACCTGACTGATGCCTCTTTCCAAAGGCTGTGACTCCAGAAAGTATTAGAATACCTCTCTCTCTCTAAGTGGTACCCAAGCCTGCCCTGGCCCTGGCCCCTGTGCCCATCTTTCCTGGGAAATCACTAGATTAGAAACAGGATCACAGGCTTTGCCCTGAACTGAGTATGGAGCATTTGACACGTGGAATTACTGGATTATCACAATTCCAACAAATTATTTTTAGCTTGACCACAAAATATTGCTACCATATTCTGAGACATGCCATTTATAAAGACAGCTGGGAAGACAGACACAACCGCTGTCTAATCCAGGCAGAAATCTAACTGCTGGTCACTACCCAAGGGCACTGAACTCCCAAGAACCAGAGGTGGTGGCATGGACTCCACAGGGTGCCTAGATCTGGGTGGAAGATTTTCCTTCTGGGTATGAAATCCATGTCAATTCTGTAATGAATCCTCACAATGCAGGCACGTTTGTTTTCAGTGATTATACTGCTCTTTCAGAGTCCTCAGTACAATGATTACTATGGGCTCGGGAGCTCTGCTACTACTCAGGACAGGAGGCCAAGGACTTGAGTCCAACCCTTATCCAGACCCCCAGTATTGGCAGCAAGGACAGACACAATGTAGAGCCTCCACACCCCATAGCCCCATGATTATCCCATCTGCAAAGGTGTCACTGGTACTGCTGGTCTTTCTACCATGTACAGCAGTTTAGACAGAGAGGTGCAACAGAAAATGCTTTTTTGTATCTAGAAAGCAAATGTTCTAAATAGACCATAAATACAAGGTTTTACTATAATTTTGAATGCATGCAATTTTTCCTTTTTTAAAAAAATAATCTCCCTTGCTTAGGACAGAAGTTTACTTGGAAAGCTGGGCAGAGTGATGCACACCTACCCTGTATCTTAAAAAAAAAGTTCTCTTAGCTTCCCTAAGTGTAAGGCTGGGCTGCCCAGCCTGGCCAACCCCATGACCCATGACACCTGCACAAAGACACGTGACCTCATGTCACAAAGGCTTCTCTGTCCTATAAAATGAAGGTTCCCCTCAGGGAAGAGGATACAGACTGGCCTCCGGTGAGTATGGAGGGCAGAGTGCCCCAGTCACAACTTTAGGTGGAAGGAGACTCAGAGAGGTGACCAATGTACCTGAAGCAGGTCGCTGAGGTCCAGGAGCATGTCTGGAACAAGAGTCAAGGATCTTCTTGGAGGCAGCAGCTCAGGTTACACGACAGACTTCAAAGATGGGAAGACTGCACACTCAGGGGTGGGGGCCTTGTCTGCTGAGTCTAAGCTCAGCACTTGGTCAGTAGGAAAAGGCCTTGACAGAAAAGTGGGGCTACACAGTAGGACTCATCAGAACCTCCTATTCCGCTGATGCTGAAAGAAACCTTCATGAGCTCACTACCAAGACAAGGGGCTGAAAGAAATGGGGAACCAAGCCCGGGGAACCAGAAATAGGAGTGGCCTTCAATATGATCCTCAAGAGATAGTCCACCTTCACAGAGTAGCTCTCAGCCAGCTCCTGTCAGGTGTCCACCGCAGAGAGGGTCTTCTGCCCTGACACAGCACAGCAACATACAACAGAGCCCATTCCCTTCTCACAAGGCTTTACCAAGTGCCCATCCAGCATCAGGCAGTGTCCAGGGCAGAGAACCTGGCACAGTCCTCACAGCACTCACAGACTCGCAGACATGCACCCACCTTCTGCTAAGCAGATGAGCCCCAGCTCATCTGGGGAACCTGTTCTTGCTCTCAGGAGATAAATCGTACCAAGAATGTCCTAAGGAAAATTCAGATGTCACAGAGTCACAGGTGTAGGCAACTGATAAGATGAAGTTTAAATCCATATCATTCATTCATGGATTTGGTATAAATTCAAGAAGCAACTAATAAAGAAATCCTGGCCCCAATCAGGTGGCCAAGGAGAAACAAAGTGTCAGGGATACACAAAGTGCCATGACTACAGCCTCACACAGCCACCAGCAGCCAAGGGTGAGATCTGGAATGAAAAGGCAAGACTTCATCACGGAGGGTGGCAACAAGTAGAAAGAAAATCCTGCACTGGACACCAGCAAACTAGTGAGAAGAACTGTGAGGAAAAGGAAAGAAAAGGAAATGACAGCAACACCAACCACGTGCACAAAAATCAATGTCATCAAAGAAAGCCAAACAACAGAAAAAGTTAGCGGAGCCAAAGGCTACATCCTGTGTGATTCCATAAACTATAAGCACTCTGGAAAAGGCAAGAGTGTGGAGACAGTAAAATATCAATGGTTGCCAGGGGGTAGGGAGGGAGGGTGATCGGGGGGCACTCAGAAGATTTTTAGGGCAGTGGAACCATTCTGCCCAAGCAATGTGCAGCACGGTGAGCAACAAACCCCAACATAGACTGTGAGCTGTGTCTCTAGTCATCAGCTCTGACAAATGCCACACTAATGCAAGACGTGACTAACACAGGGAATTGTGGGGAACTCACAAGGGAACTCTTGGCTCTTTTTTTTTTCTTTTGAGACAGAGTTGGTAGAGTGCCGTGGGGTGTCACAGCTCACAGAAACCTCAAACTCTTGGGCTTAAGTGATTCTCTTGCCTCAGCCTCCCAAGTAGCTGGGACTAAGGGCACCCGCCACTATGCCCAGCTTTTTTTTTTTTTTTGGTTGTAGTTGTCATTGTTGTTTGGCAGGCCCAGGCTGGATATGAACCCGCCAGCTCTGGTGTATGTGGCTGATGCCCTAGCTGCTTGACCTACAGGTGCCAAGCTGAAACACTTGGTATTTTCTGCACACTTTTCCTATAAACTAAAACTGTAGTAAAAATAGTCTATTTAAATAAAGATAACAATAATGGCTAAAAAATAGGTAAAACTTTTTTTTTGTTTTTTTGAGACAAATTCTCACTATATCACCCTCAGTAGAGTGCCAAGGTGTCATAGCTCACAGCAACCTCAAACTCTTGGGCTTAAGCAATTTTCCTACCTCAGCCTCCCAAGTAGCTGGGACTACAGGCACCAGCCACAACACCCAGCTATTTTTTTCTTGTTGCTGTCATTGTTGTTTAGCAGACCCAGGCCGGGTTCAAACCCGCCAGCCCTGGTGCATGTGGCTGATGACGCCCTAGCCACTGAGTAATGGGTGCCAAGCCATGGGTAAAACTTTTGAACAGAAAATAAAAAAAAACCTCCACCACATTAGTTATCATAGATACGCAATGAGACGCTACCATGTACCTGTAGCACCAGCCGCTGGTGAGGACGTGGGACAAGCGCAGGCCACCACATACCTGGACACGTGCCTTTGACTCAGCTCTTCCACTCCTAGGGATTTACCCAAGAGAAATAAAAACGTTATGTCCACAGAAAGACTTACAAAAGAGTGTTCACAGCAGCTTTGTTCATAATAGCAAAAACTGGGAATAGCCTAGGAGTTTGTCAGAAGAAGGACTGATGTCCAGCTGTCCTGTGCTCACATGGTACCACCACGCAGCACATCCACAACATGAGTGAAGCTCAGCAGCATGCCAAGAGCCAGGGCCTTCTAGAGGGAGCATGTGTGCTTGCTTTCATTGATGAGGACGGATGTCCCAACAATGGACATCTGCAAGGGCAGAAGGACTGCTCTTGGTGTTGGCACTGCTCCAGCCCTACTGGGAGGAGCTGAGTTGCACCACTTGTCAGAACTCACCACACAGCAACGGACCTGTGCATTCCACTTTATGCAACTTGACCTCCAGAGGAAGATAGGAGCCAGCTAATTTCTGTCTGCCAAAGGGCTCTGGACTACTGTCCATAAAGTTCTTCCAAATATACAAAAAAATAAGCCAACTTAGGGATGCAAAGCAGGGGTAAGAGGTATCAGGGGGAGCCTAGACCCCATGTGTTAACAAGCAACTCTACAATTACTTCAACTTTGCAAGTGTTTGAAAATTTTCATAATAAATCATGGAAGTGGGGGCCGAGCACAGTAGCTCACACCTATAATCCCAGTACTCTGGGAAGGCAGGTGGATCACTTGAGCTCAGGAATTCAAGACCAGCCTGAGCAGGAACAAGACCCCATCTCTACTAAAAAAAAAAAAAAACTTGAGCCCAAGAGTTTGAGCTTGCTGTATGATGCCATAGCACTCTACTGAGGGTGAAAAGGGAGCCTCTGTCTCCAAAAAACAAACAAAAAAAAACATGGAAGGAAGGCTGGGCACAGTGGTTCATGCCTGTAATCCTAGCACTCTGGGAGGCCTGGGCGGGTGGCCTGTTTGAGCTCATGAGTTCAATACCAGCCTGAGCAAGAGCAAGGTCTCATCTCTAAGACCAGCCGGGTGTTGTGACAGGATAGGACCCATAGTCCCAGCTACGTGGAAGACTGAGTCAAGAGGATTGCTTGAGCCTATGAGTTTGAGGTTGCTGTGAGCTATGAGTACCATAGCACTCTACTGAGGGTGACAAAGTGACTCTGTCTCAAAGACGAAATAAACCAAAACCAAACAAAACATGGAAATGCTGGTGGTGCCTGTCCCTCAGTGGGCAGGGTGCTGGCCACATACACCCAGGCTGGTGGGTTCAAACCTGGCCCAGGCCAGCTAAACAATAATGACAAGTGTAACAAAAAACTAGCTGGGCATTGTGGCGGGCACCTATAGTCCCAGCTACTTGGGAAGCTGAGGCAAGAGAATTGCTTAAGCCCAAGAGTTTGAGGTTGTTGTGAGCTATGGCACTTTGGGCATTCTACCAACAGCGATATAGTGAGATTGTCTCAAAACAAAACAAAACAAAACATGAAAGTGCGCACATCTTAAAAAGAGCTTGGGATTACACTTTCAAATGAGTTAAAATAATTGCTTTCCTTAAAATGAAAGTTGCCTGACACTTGATCCTGGTCCATCTAGCTCTGCCAGAAGGGACTCCAGAAGAGTCCCAGACAAGAGGCTCAACTGTATAAGCCCCCACAAGCCCCCAGGGCCTGTCCTAGGGCCCAGATCACAGGCACCCCAACTGATGAGTATTTGGGGATTTGCTCGTGGCTTCTGAGCATCTTCTGTCTGGTATTATGTCCCCCTCCCTTTTGCTAAGCAGCTATTTCTAAGGAGCAAAACCTCCACTTTCCCTAGGTGGACAACCAGTCTAGCCCCATCCACCATCCACCACAGCTGACTTTTGTAGGTCCCTCTTGCTGACTAATCCCTCCCTGCAGCCAACTCCATTTGGCACCTTTATGCACAGCCCCACCCACAGCCCTGTTAAGAGTGTAAGCTACTGGCCATGCCCACAAGGACAGGTCATCAGAAGCACTGGCCCCCACAGGGGCTCTGCATGTCTGCCACACACAGAGCACTGACCCCCACTGTCTGCACTGCACTGATGCCTGCTGCAGGCACCGTAGCTGGCATAAAACCCATTCTGGCTCCTGACCGGCTCTTGACCCCACATGGTCTCCAACTCTCACCAGAGGGTAAAGCAGGAACAGCCGCTTGGGACATGGGCACCATACTCCCTTCCCCACCCACATGGATGGTAGCAATTGGCACAGGATCCAAAAGCACATGCCCTGACACTTTGCACAGCATAGCTCCTCACAAAAGCATAGAATCAGCTGGAACATTTGAAACTGTGAAAGAAGGGTAACCTGTGGTTTCAGAGCCTTCATTATAAACTTCCTAAACAGGAGCCTGGCAGGTAGAGAGGGTGTCTTTAGACCCCACACCTGGTAGGCCAGATTCTGCTATGTATTGGATATAACTAGGAATGAGGTCACTCACTACAGAGTTCAGGTGACCTCAGCTGTTTGACAGCAGGTCCATAAAGACCCAGCTCCCAGGTCATGAGCAGCCAGCCCAGTCCCCACCAAGTGCTCCCCAAGAGTCACCCTCCTTCTCAGCCTCAGCACTTGGTGAAGGGCAGGTGTCTGGGAGAGTCTGCTGAGTGGGGAATAAGGGTGGTACACCTGCCAACTCCCCATCCACCAGGCCCCCTTGGATCTCCTTGGAAGGACCAGGCCCAAGAAAAGGCCAATGAGTCACTGCTGGGCCTTGCCGTGAACCAAATCCTAACGCTGTGGCTGGGCTGCACCATCCTGCCATGCATTCTCCTTTATGAGTGACACACCTCAAATAACCTAACATACCACCCTTATCGTTATATGTAACATCTGTGAACTTTAAAGATGTCCAAGTGCCTTCTCAAAGTCCCCTGC